GGGAGTGATGAACTCCTTTAGCATTTTCTGGTCTGGGAAGCTCTTTTTATGTCCTTGAATTCTAGATGATAGTTTTGTTGAGTACAGTAATCTAGGTTATAGGTCATTGCTCTTCATCACTTTGAGTATTTCTTACTAATCCCTTCTGGCCTGCAAAGCTTCTGTTGAGAAATCATCTGACAGTCTTATGGGAGCTCCCTTATAGGTAACTAACTGCTTTTCTCTTGCTGCTTTTAAGATTTTTAATGTTTTGCATTTTAATTATGATGTGTCTTGGAGTGGGCCTCTTTGGGTTCACCTTGTTTGGAATTCTCTGTGCCTCCTGGACTTGTGTGTCTATTTCCTTCACCAGGTTGGGGAAGTTTTCTGCCATTATTTTTCCAATAGGTTTTCAATTTCTTGCTCTCTCTCCTCCTGTGGCACCTCCATGATGTGACTATAAGTGAGCTTCAAGTTCTCCCAGAGGCTCCTTATACTATTCTAGTTTAGATTTTTTCCCCCTTCTTTGCTGTTCTGATTGGGTATATTTTGCTCCCTTTTTTTCCAAATTGCTGATTTGATTCTCAGCTTCATCTATGCTACTGTTGATTCCCTGTAAATTATTCTTTATTTCAGTTAGTGTAGCTTCCATTTCTGACTGGTCTTTTTTTATACTGTTGAAGTTCTCCTAAGTTCATTTACTCTTCCTTTAAGTTCATTGAACACCCTTATAACCAGTGTTTTGAACTCTGCACCTGGTAGATTGCTTGTCTCCATTGTGTTTAGTTCTTTTTCTGGAGTTTTGTTTTGTTCTTTCGTTTGGGTATGTTTCTTTGTCTCCTCGTTTTGGCAGACTCCCTGTGTTTGTTTCTAAGTATTAGGTGGAGCTGCTGTGTCTCCCAGGCTTGTTAGAGTGGCCTAATATAGTAGGTGTCCTGTAGGGTCCAGTGGCAAGCGCCTCCTATCACCCAAGCTGGGCACTTGAGGGCCACCTGCTATGTGGGCTGTGTACGCTCTCCTCTTGAGCCATGATTGCTGTTGGCATGTCAGTGGGAGGTATTTACACTCAGGCCCATCAGCTGCAAGGACCGGCTGCAACCACTGACTTTTAACCACTGTGGAGGACCAGCTGTGCAGGGAGGGGTCCACCCCACAAAGCAGAACTGACTTCAGCAGGGCTGTGGTGGCCGCTGAGTCCACCCCTTGCGTGTGTCTCTTGGGGAGGTGGCTGGCTGGTGGTGCTTGACATGGTCTGAAGCCTTCAGCTGGGTGTGCTCCAGGCTGTGTAGGCTAAGGTCAGCCGTCACCTGTGTTCTGCCCGGCACCACCTGGCATAAGCTACAAAGTGATAAGCAGATGGCTGCTACTTGTGCTGGGCTTAGAGGTGCCCAGGTGAGAGGCCAAGGTGTGAACCAAGAACACCTACTGGGGCCACTTAGTGAGAGGTGAGGGACTTACTGAAGCCAGATGCTGTTTGTTTGAGAGGTTTTAGGAAGGTCTGAAAACATGAACCAAGACAAGCCATTTCTACAGAAAAGCCACTGGAAACAGCTTGGGTGGACCTGACAGTTGGGTGGGGTGGGGCCTCAGGGAATCACCAGGGTGTGGCAAACAATGTGAACCTGGTTGATGGAGACTCATATGGAGCCTGCCTGCCGGCTCTGCGGAGGGAACAGTGGCCTCTGAGGGCACTTCTGACTGGGAGAGAGTTGTCCGCCCTCCACTGCCCTCCCCCCACCTCACCCTGATTCCAGACAATTCAGTCAGTTCCTGCCTGTATTTTTCTCATTCCCTTTCAAGCTGCTGCCCCAGCTCCGGAGCTCAAAGGGAGTAAATCTGAATTAGAGTGAGGGCCCTTTAAGAGGAACTGCCTGGGACTCCAGCAGCCTGTGTCCCACTCAGTCACAGTCCCCACAGGTTTCCAGCCACTTTGCTCAGCCTCTGGAGAATGCAATTTTAAAGTATTTAAAGAGAATAGTCTCTCATCCTGTTCGTCGCTGATGAACTTTCAGCCATCAGCTCTAACCATTATGTTTCTATTGACTTACGATGATTAGTTCTACAGTTCATTTAGATTGTAATTTATCGTAGGTTCTCATTTGACAGTTCCACTGCAGGCTGAAATCTTATTTGTGACACGTGACATTTTTGCAGCCTCGCTGCAGACATGAGCTTCGGTCACATTTTGCTTTGCTTCCTCTCTTGTTTCCTGCCAGTGGATTCCCTTGGCCGTGTGGCTGTCACTGGCCTTCCGGGGCAGTCTGGCCCCTTTCACACGCTCTCGCACGGATGGTTGGGAGCCCGTTCTGTAAGGGCCGTAGCACTAGTGGTTAAGAGCTTTCAGTTTGGAAAAGTTCTGGCAAGTTGAAGTGGGAAGGATCTCTGCCATCAATCTCTCTACAACCCCCAACCCCTAAAAGGAAAGACATTTACTATAACAACCACGAGTAGGGACACAAATATTTTTTCAATCACTCCCTGTCTCTTCGGTGCTACAGAAGCTACAGGCAACCAACCCGGGACCAGTCTCTTTGGGAGTGTCGCAGGTGGGGAACGGTCTGAGGAGCATCACAGGGCTCATGCGCCAAAAGTCTTCTTTCTCTCCCTCCTGCGCACGCACACACACACACACACACACACACACACACACACACAGAGGTTTGCTCGGTGCTATATGGCGATGCCGCTCTGAAGGGGTGCTTATGCCTTTGGGGCAACACCTGGGCAGTATTGCCCTTTGTCTCGCTGCCATTTTCCGTCTCTAACCACCTGTGTCCGGGCATATGGGGTCTAGAACAGCAGCATCTCCATTAAAATTCCTTTTCTTTGTGGTCCTTTCTAAGAAATATCTTTTCCCTTTAAATTCGGGTGATGTTTCTTATTATCAATACAAAGTAATTTGAACTGAGAAGGTGACAATCAGGTACCAGTAAGTCTTATATGTAGCTGGTGTCACAATCTACAAATTACAAATTCCTTGATGACAGCTATAATCCCTTATAGATATGTGATTGACTCACATGCCGGAACACAGTCAGCATTCTAAATTCGACAGAATGACAAGAAATGTAGCAAATAGAGGGAAACAAGGACTAAAGAAATATTAGCAGTGTAGTTTTAAGGGTAGCTGGTGCAATATTATAAAAGTGTCTTTTAAATCACATTCTCAGATCAGGGTGTTTTCTGACTATCACATTACTAGACACAAACTGGAGGAAATCACACACTGGTCGGGCAGGCAGCCGAGCGATAAGGGTATTCTCGACTAGTCCGCAAGTTGTGGGTTGCCATCGAGTCTTGCTTTATGTGCTCATGCTTATATTTAATAAGTAACTAGATATTTAAAAATTATATAGGAGTAGCAAAATACTAAAGATAGTGTTATAAATGTAATCCTGTCACTCAGATACAACTATATTTAGTTTTTCTGTGTATATTTGTATGTGTGTATGAGTTTATGTAGTTGTAGTCACATTGTATTTTTTGGTGGGTTTTTTTTTTTTTTTCAGCTAACAGGATAATGTTCCATGAAATCATTGGATTTTAATTTTACCCATATGTAATGGGATAATGAGATCTGGAATCTTAGCATCTGTATAGAAATTTTGCCAACATATGTTGTAGGTCAAGGGCAAGTAAGACTTTCTAGGGCGGTGTGTTAAATATCAGTTGATTACTTTTTTCCAGCAGTGTTTTTGTGGGAATCTAGTTTAATTTTGTGGCTAAACTGAAAGGAGATACTTTGCTGGACTGGATGGGGGGCAGGGTTTGTTTTTTTTCCGTATGTGACTATTTTCTAAATGGATCATGATTGAAAATGAGAAAAAGTGATTATGTGGTTTAGAAGATCATTTTGTTGTTGTTCAGGGCCCTTTTATGGACAATGAAAAAAAATGTTACTAAGTGATGTGTTTATAGAACGGCTTTGTTAGTAGAACTCGAAGTTCCTTTATAGTTTAAAGATAATCGGAGTTGGATGTCTGAGAATAGGACCCGGTTTGAGTTATGGTATGTCTTTGAACTTTCTCCAGCTTTTCCTTCCTGTGTGGCCTTGGGGAAGACATCAAATTGTAACTGTGAAAGTAGGAACAAAAACACCTGATGGCAGTTATGATTGTGATGAATGAATGGTTCACAATCTACAGGGCTCCTGGGAAGATGGGTGAGGACTTTTTAAAAATTGTATAGGACTCTTTCGGACAACTATTTCAGTGTAGGGCCGGTTGTCAAAAGGGCTCCATTCTTAGAAGCAAGCCGAGGGAGAGAAGGCAGACGCCTTGAAGTTGACTGCTGAGCAAGCCCTTCCTGGCCACGTGGGGCTTCCACGCATGCTTAATGACCGAGGTTCAGGCCAGTCTTGCAGAACCGGCAGGTCCTGGCCCGGGACAGGGCGAACTGGCTCACCTGGCTTCCTCCCTGCAGAGCCTGGCCCTGCGTCAAGCTGGTTCTCTTTCAGATGAAGACCAATCCCCAGTCTTTTTCCATTACCCGATTCCAGCCCATCCTTTGAACGCTGAGAATAAAAAACTTTACTGCTGGTCTTCATACTCCAAATCAATTGTGAATCGAAAAATAGATTTGGGTACTGGTGTGTGGCTGTGTGTGTGGGGGAATAAGGTCTTTCTTTGGGTTTCCCAGTGCAGGAAGGTAGGTGATTTCTATTAAAGTTGGGGTTTGAGTGGAAGAGACAGCTAAGTTGGTGACAGAAAGATTACGCTGCACAAAATATTATTAATCTCATTAAGCAAACTAGGCCATGATGATGAGAGAACAGCTGAGACCAGGCCCCTTGGAATGTGTCCAGTCTGAGACTATCTTCTTGTTTTCTTGATTAAAAGCTAACTGAAAAACTAGGGTTGGTTGTAAATTTACTGTTTTTATTTTTGGCAAGTGGGGAGTTAAATGAACTGTTATTTGGGAAATAGTGGCAAAAAAAATAGCGCCACACTTTAAGGTAGTCACCCCTGAATTGATGAGAATCACCGTTTTGTTAATTTCATCAACATGTTCATTTCTTTCAGCTCCATGTTCATGCATGTCTTTTAACCCGGAAACAAGAAGACTGTCCATAGGTCTAGACAATGGTACAATCTCAGTAAGTACACATAAATAAGATTTCCGGTTGAAATAATTCCCTTTCTGTGGAGTATGTATCAATATACATGTATTGTGATAAGAATTATTCATGGATTTTCTTGCTAAGTAAACTAGAAATTGCAGTGCAGTGCATCATGATGCGGTATGGGGAGAGCAGTCGGCAGCTTGGACTCCAGTGGATAATGCTCAGCTGTACTTACAAGGCACATGGTGCCTAGAACACGGCCGATAGGAGGCCTCCCAGTGAACTGCAGGAACCTGTGTTATTGGGACGAGCTGGGACCCCGGTGGCTTTGATCAGATGGTTAATTGTGGTGTCATGCGCTTCCCCACACAGGGACAGAACTCAAGGGTAATTCTTTTAGCCTGCATATCTGACCATCTTTAATACTTGACGTTCTTCTCCTTCCCTTCTTCCTTCTGCTCCTTGTTGTCCCCTTAGCTGCCTGTTGATGTGAGCAGAATTCTGTTGATTTGCATGCATTTGTAAAGAAAGCACTACATGTAGTCTGAAGGGTAGATGCAGATAAATACTAAACCTTCGATTATAGATCTTGAGGGAACCGAAGTTATTAGAAATTGGGATCTCAGATTTTTGTACTTAATCTTCTATTTACATATTTAGTTTCAACTAGTATATTAACTAGTGACAAACTGATCTGGCAAATTCTTCATTTTGGTAAATACCCGGTATATATTATCTTGAGTTCTGGGCAACAGGCCCTGCTTTGGGAGCTGTGAATTACAGGACTTGACTCAAGCCGCACTCCACCACAGGGTGAAGGGGCGGAAGGGCCAGGAGGGTGTGTCCATCTTAAGCCCTCACCCTGTTTATCCCCGTGCTCGGGGTCCTGGGTAAAACCAGTAGCTTTCGCCTAAAGGCTGGCCAGCATTTGAGGTGAGTAGGATGTCCACGCGTGTGCACAAGGCCCCTCCAGGTGTTGATCGACGTGGGGAGTGTGAAGAAAAGCGACCGGGCTGGCCCTCCTGTGTCCCCACACCATGGTGTGGGACTGCAAGGGGTCTAAAAATTCCAAATTTGTATCTGTACCTCCAGGTAGTTGCAAGTGTATTTGTCAAGACTGGAGGAAGAGACCATATTTTATTTAACAGTGTAACTTGATTTGTAACTTGGGAAAATCTAGACATGTGGAACGTAGGACTCCATTTTGTAGCCTTGCCCTGATCCCTGCAGGGAGTCTGAAGAGGTGGACCTGAAATTTTCCGTTTGAGCTTCAGTCAAAACACTTGTTTGGTGACCTTAATATTGTTAACTACAAATCAGCCTATGGAAATAGATTTATGGAGTTTCTGTAACACCCAGTGCATCTGGTGGCTCTGTAAACTCCATTCTGTAGGAGAAGAGAAGTCCCTGGTACAGATCTTGTCTACTTTAAGGAGAGCCATTTTAAAAAGCAAGGTGGGGGAATAAATCTATTTCTAAAAGATAAAGGCAGATAATTGGATTGCTTAATGAACTGAAAAATTTATTACAAAAGAAATCTGAGAAGGTGAAGTGAGGCCCATACATCGCCTAGCATTCCATGGAATAGTATGTGTAATACTGTCCGTGAAAAGACTTATGTGTACATAGCATATGGGTTAGTCTTTGCACTTTTGAAATGAGTGTAGGTGGTTAGTGGAAGCTGATAAATTTGGCTTTGAAGGCAAGAAAGGTGAGCAAAGTAAGTTCTGAAAAGTTCTGGCTGCAAAGAAACCCTCTGTTTCTTTGCTGAATGAAACAGGTAGAGAGCTGGACAGGCGTCAGAGACCCAGTGGAGGGGCTTCTCCCAACGAGTCAGTGCAGTGTCTCAACAGCAAACCCTGCCCCTCCGGGCTCTAAAAAAGATGCAGGGCCCAGCCCATATAAAATAATCTCCTTAAAAGTACTTCTTTTATGTTGCCAAAAAAGATGAATTGTACGCACTGCCTATTCTCAGATTTGTAAAGAGCTCTGAGTTAGGGAAAGATGCAAGGAGAATACAGCTTGTTTAAGGCACAGATTTCTCACTGATCACTACATTAGCAGTTTCTTTACTGGAGATATTTCTACCAAGTCTCAGCTGTTTAATAGTTTACCCTCTGGACCTGAGAAATCTATTCACCGACTGTAAATTTTCTGTCCCCAGAAGATAGCAAATCAATCTTTAAAAGAAATACTGGCTAACTTACTTTAAAACAAAGAAAGGAGGAAATCAGAAAGCCAATCCTTATTATTTTACTGACTAAAAAAAGAGTTAAGAGGCAGTTAGCCTTATGTAACTGAGTAATGAATTAGGAAGTGGAATTACCAAAAATAGACCATTCTTTTAAAAAAATTGGCCACAAGAGGAAGGCGAGAGATGGTGAGCACTGGAACAAGATAGGAGAGGAGACGAGCAACTAGAGCGCCCGGGACAAGTTGGGGACTTTAGCTTTGGGAAAGAATGGGGAGGCTTTTCAGGTAGGAGGGAAGCACGGACAGTTTTGAGCTGTAGGAGAGGAATGGAATAGCAGGTTAGATCACCGACTAACAGAAGCTAAAACAGGCCGAGGGTGTATTTTCATGGCTGTAACTAGCTTTTTCTGATTTTATGGTCCCAGACACCTGCTATCATGGTTTACAAAGTCTCAATTATCTCTCCAGGTATTGTTCAAGTGCCCCGCCCCTTTCTTTTTTTTTCTCTTTGGGACAGGTGTTTTCTGAGCCCTCCTACCTGAAATTAATCACACATGATACTTGGTACGGTAGCTATATTGTATTTGCTTATTTAACTTGTTTTGTAAAAAGCTTTGAAGTCTTTCTCCTTCATTAAATACAGTGTTGAACGTTAAGGACTTGGTCAGGCTTTTACTCATCTCCTCTCCCAGCAGCTTTTCGTGTGGTTTCTTGTACAAATTGGGGACACAATGAATAATTTGTTCAGCAAGTCACTGGCTAAAGTACAAGCTGTTATTATTTAATACAGCTGGTTGTGGTAAGTGTCTGCTTAAATGCTGAGGTAGTTTATTTGTATCATTCTATTGCTGCTGAAAATATTTTTCGCAATGAAATCATCCTCTGTAGGGGAAGAAGTGATGCCAGTATTTCCATTCATCCTGAGTTTTCATCAACGCCTCCTGTGTTAACGTTGAAAGAAGCCGGTCCAATTGTGCTAACTGCTGTTTATGCTGAAGTGGGACTTTAAAGTTTTTTGGCATAATGTCTCATGTATTGTAGCCAACCAGCAAATATTTTAATATCAACTGTGTGCAAAGGATTATGCTCAGTTCTAACATGTGGCTCCTGGTCTCAGAGTGCTGATTGTTTAGCTGGGAAAAATGAAGTTATGAGAAAAGCCACACGGACTAAAAAGAAGTGACAGCGAACCTAGCAGCACATCGGCGAGGGTGCTGTCGGCAAGGCTGAGGTCGGAGAGCTGGAGGGGGCGGTCTGGCCCGGTCAGCTCCTTGGAGATGGGACGTGAGCTGAATTTAGAACAGGGGCTAGGATTTGATTAGCGAGAGCAGAGATAGGAAGATAAGGTATTTCAGGCAAAATGAATGTCATAGGGGAAAAGAACGTGGCGGTAAGACAAGGAAGGCAGGGAGGGTTTGGAGGGACTTGTTTGGCAAGAAGTCAACAGTTTGGGGAAGGGATTAATAGAGTGTAAAGTATAGTAGATAGTTGAGGTTTAATTCTAAAAAGCTTGGTGCAATGAGTAGTTAGCATTGTGTAAAGTAACTGGATTCCTAACAGGGGAGATCTCTCCACATTGTCACTTGGAGAGACTTTCTAAGGTATTCAGAAGGGATAAAAGAGTAGTGAGGAAATGTCAAAATACAGAAATGAGAGAATTTCTATGAAACTAATTTTTACCAAACCCACTGAATTGTAGCTATAGGATAGTCATAGAGGTATATGTATATAATCATCTTTATAAATATATTTCTCTTCATCAAAACTACTAGTGAGCCAAAATTCTTATTAAAATCTTGCCAAGATAAATGCATAGTCATTGAAAATATTTTGAACAGGTCCCAAAGATGATAAAATCTCTGCTTTCTGAAGATTAGTTTTATGTATGTGTTATAGGAAGTTTGGGACAAGAGGAAAAGATTGGTTATATAAAGGTTAACGTTCAGAATAGTGGTTATTATATAAAAATACATAATACTGACCATGTATGGATTTATTGTTGTTTGAGTAGTTCCTGTGATTATTATATTCTTGTAGTCCGTATTACTGTTAGTTCATGTAAGTTATCCAAGGGAATGAAAAAATAGAGAGTTGAATGTTTATTGACCAGCTACTATGCACCAGGCACTCTGCTTTACATACATTGCCTCTTCCCAGCTTTCCCATAATCCTCCTGTGGAGGGGGTGCCATTCCTGTCTCCCAGATCAGAGCACTAAGGCCTGCAGAGCACACCTGCCTTCTGGCGTACTTAGCCAGGAAGCCGCTCTCAGCAAAGCTGGGGGCCCTGTCTGTGTTCCCTCATTTGTTCGTGGGCCTGTGTCCTTCACTAGACGGTGAGCCGCCTACAGGCAGAGGCCGAGTCTGCTTCTGCATCGTGTCCTGACAGAATTCCCGGACCGCCATAGATGCTTTGTAACAGGTCTGGTGAATGAAGGGAGAAGGCGTTTCGGTTCAGTTCATGCCATCAGGATGCTAAAAACCAAAGTCGGGCACTTGGCTGGCGGGATGAATTGCTCTCCACAGTGGACACAATGGAAGTGCACCCTGTGTTTAAGTTCAGGCGGTCATTTAAGAATTTGATGTTCAACTCCGCTTCCTGAAATTTACGTACAGAGATACATTAGGTGAGGAACTAAGAAGCTCAAGTAGAAATGTAATGTGTTCTCGAGAGCCTGTGGGGCCCTAAAATATGCTGTTAATAGGTCTGTCATTGCCTCTTTTTTGAGTAAGACTAGAAATCTGAGGAACTTTTGGGATCATTGAAGGAATATGGCTTCTTTATCATCATTTATTATTACTTGGAGATCTGTATTTTACAATTAAATTAACAACTTTACCG